ACTTATTCATGCAACAATAATAATATTCTAAAACCAATCCGTCTAACTATGCTGAAATTATTGATTTCAAACCAAACAAAAGGTATGTACATGTGCTTATTATACATGCACTTTATTTCTTACTTCAAAAATTTTGTTACCAGTGTGCTCTTAACTTTATTAATTAATATGTTACATTATTTCAAAAGTTATTATTACGTTGTATTTGTTTTCTTATATTAATATATGTATATTTTAACACTTATTTCTAAAACTTATACATAAATTACCTCAGTTATTGATTGACGACACTAAATTACACTTTTTTTTTAGCCTACGGTCAGTGGAACTATCCGAACAGTATCCAATTTAAGGTTATATTATCATCATAGGAATTTTATTATCATTATAAAATATATTATCTTATCAATAATAAATTATATTATCATTATAGGAATTATACTTCTTCTTAAGAGCGCTGGTGTTTACATCTCGACATCTCGACTTTTATACAGCAGCCTAGGCATGAGCCTAGGCTCGGCAGCACTCCTGCTTGTAGTTTGATGCTAATTTACAAGCGACCAAACCATGACTGAGATCTGTCTCCGATGGGCACCACAGAAGATGAAAAAAAATCCATACCCTGAACCACATCAACGACAGAATGAGGAACAACGCTGGAATCGTCCGGCGAGAAGCAAACTCGCCTCCACGGGTAATACGCAAAAAAAGACCACATCCTATCCCAATCAGCCGATCTATAGTGCCAAACATAGCGGCAGCCTGCAGAATGCAACCGCAATTTCAGCGTGAGAGTGACGGAAACATGATATCCTCCACATCTGGAAACTGCTTAGGCTAAGTAACCAGCTGTGTAATATATGCCATATGTATATAGTACATGCCAAACCAAATATCTCCCCGCATGATCGGTTAAACGCGAACCGTGCCATTTGGTGTGGTGGGTGTTAAAATCGCCGAGGATCATCACAATCTCTGTGGATCGGATCTGCTGTAGCAAGGAATCTGTAGCCATGAGTCGGCTTTGGATGTAGTTGATGAGTCGGTCTGTTTCGGAATTACCGCTATGAGACCTATAGAGGCACCCGTAAACGCGCGGAAATGAAATGAAATGAAATGAAATGAAATGAAATGAAATGAAATGAAATGAAATGAAATGAAGATTTATTTGCTTTGAAAAAGGTTACATTAAGGTGGTTATTACAAAGTATAGTACAGCTTTTTCAGCCATCAATGGATAGCATGCAAATACATTTTTTATTATTAAGATTATTTAGTGTTTTATTAAAATAGCGAATTTAATTAAAATATATCATAAAATAGTCATCATTTAGAAATTATCAATACATAATACCAATACGTGGTAGAGCCATGCTGCAGTTATATTAGTAGTATAGTTGTAGCACGAATGGGTCGGCTCGACCGGGGAAGGACCACGCTCTCACAGAATACCAGCGTGAAATAGTAGCTTAATGCTGCTGTATTTCGTATGGTGAGTGTAGAGAACCGGAGACCCTTTTTACTGGAAACGAGGCATTCCATCTTAGTCCTCACGGGTGACAACGCATCTGCATTTTGATTCGTAATCGAGGATAGATGTAGATGTCTATGGGCCGCAGCAACCACTTACCATCAGGTGGACTGTGTGCTCGTTTGTCACCCTATCCTATAAAAAAAAAAAAAAAAAAAAATACATACAAATTTAAAAATAATTAAAATTGAAAATGCAATTAAAAATATATAACTACTGTTGTGTCACATCATGTCAAATTTAGGTAGTCATTCACATTATAAAAACAATGATCATTTAGCCACCTGTAAAGGGCGCCTTTAAATCTATTAAGGGGCAAGTCTTTGATATGTCGGGGTATTTTATTAAATATGAGCATACACATCCAGAAGCAATTTTTTTTAAACCGAGCACTCTTGGGTATAATTTCAGCAGCAAGTCTATTGCCATTTCTGGTATTTTGCGTATAAACCTCTTTTGCTTGTCTGAAATAATACATGTTTTGTTTTACAAATTTTGCAATAATTAATAATTTTGCAATGAAATATATAAAAAAAATAATAAGCCCGTATAGCAGTACGGATTCCACATATGCAAAGTACGCAGTAAGTGCTGTATTTTTTGTGGCTACTTTGCTTAGTTTATAAAGTGCGTACGAAAATCTATTTACTTTTTTTACATACATGTTCAACTTGACATTTCCAATTTAGTTTTTGATCAATCCATATACCTAGGAATTTTGTCATATTTGTACTTTTTAGTGTTTGTCCTTCAAAATTAATGTTCATTGTCTGGTATAATATGTCATTGAAATTTATAAAATAAGTTTTGTCAAAATTTATAAGTAAATTGTTATTTTTAAGCCATTCTATTATTGTTTTTACAGTACTGTTAATATCATTAATGTGATCTTTAAGTGATTGTTTACCATCTGTTTTTACTATTACAGATATGTCGTCAGCAAATAAAATGCATTTGTGTTTAGTTACATCCGGAAGATTATTTATATATACTAAGAACAACAGTGGTCCCAAAACGCTACCCTGTGGAACTCCATATTTGTTTTCTTTAAAATCTGATTTGTGATTTAGGACCACATGATTACTGTCTGGTTTGCTTATTTCAACAGATTGACGTCTATTTTGCAAGTAACTTTTAATCCAACTTAAAGCAGTGCCTCTAATGCCACATTTTTCCAATTTTACCAGTAATGAATTATGTGAGACAAAATCGAAAGCCTTCGACATGTCAAAGAAGAGTGCAGTTGTATAATTATTAGCTTTAAGGCACGTTAGTGTCTCATTTACCATATCAAAAAAACAGCATGTGTAGTAGATTTTCCCCTCTGGAACCCATACTGAGTGGGATTCAGGACATGATACTTGTCAAAGAACGATGTGAGTTTAGTATGCATAATTTTTTCATATACTTTTGACAAAATTGGCACGAGCGCAATAGGGCGGTAATTATTCAAAATTGATTTTTTGTCTTTTTTGAATAAAGGCTTAATCAAGGAAAATTTAAGTTTATCAGGAAAGATACCAGAGATTATTGATAAGTTTATTAAAAATGCCAAAACCCTACCTATTTCTTTGTTGCATGCCTTAATTACTTTAGTACAAATGCCGTCATACCCTTCTGAGTCACTATTATTCAAGGTCATTATTACTTTATTTATATCATATTCGTCAACAGGGTGTAGATAAATAGAATTATTTAAAATTAGATTGGATTTATTTTTTGGTATATTATTTTGGATATCTTTGTTTGTCAATTCAATGAAGAAATTATTAAAAGTATTTGCGATTTGTGTAGGAATAGTAATAAATTTGTTGTCATATTCAATAAAGTCAATGTGGTTATTATATTGCGGCTTGGTATCTATTTCATCCTGTATGACCTTCCAAGTAGCTTTGCAAGTATTTTTGCTGTTTATCACATATTTATTATTAGTTATTTTTTTTAGAACATAGTATGCATTTTCTAAGTAGATTTGAATAAACTTTATATTTGTGTTTATTTTGAGGAGTTTTTCTCCTATAGTAGTTTTTTTCTTAGGACTCTATTTTTCGCGCAGCTATTCCTGATTCCCTTAGAAATCCATTTTAAATAGGATTTTGAAGAAAGTCTAACTTTTTTATATGGGAAGCAGAGTTTGTAAAGAAGGCATAGCCAATCATGAAATTTATTAAACGCAGTATTAGGTTCTGTTTCGCTGTAAACATCGGAGAAGGAAAGGCTCGCCAAATATTTTTTAAACTTATCTATATTTTCAGAAGAATAGTCCCTCCTATAGGTGTATAAGGTTTTTTGGGGGGAGTAGTCTTTGATATAGTACTGAAACCAAGAATTTGCGCAGTATCGTGGTCCGATAAACAGAGAGGGAGGTTAAGTCCAGTTGCACCTTTAATATTACTAAATATATGGTCAATACATGATAGGTCTCTAGTAGGTTCCGTGATATGCTGAGTAAGATTATAATTTTGGAGAATATCTAGTAAGTTGTTGGTCACATTATTTCTTATTAAAGTATTTATGTTGATATCTCCCACAATCACAATTTTTTGCTTCGAGTGCTTATGCAAATATTTACTAAGCACAAACTCCAGTTTATCGAAAAAACATTCAAAATGCCTTTTTTTTGTAGCAGTTGAAGAACGGTATACGCAGACAATAATTATGTTGTGATAAGGTATTTTTATTGAGCAACATTCAAAATGAAAGTTGGCTGAAGCCTCGTCGAAAATGGTTACTTGCTTGAATGCTATACCTTTTTTTTACCATTATGCAGGTTCCACCCCTTTTCTTGTTTCGTGAGTAGTGGGCCGCAAGTTCGTAATTATGTATATTGATATTTTTTTCTTCACCACACTTTATGAAAATCTCTGAAAAACAAAGCACATCCGGGGACAAATCATGATTTAGTTCCGAGAGAGTCACTTCCATAAGTTCTTTTTTTGAGGATAATCCCTGTATATTTTGATGAAGGATTACGAATAAATTGTTATTATTGTTAGGAACGAAAAAAAATCATGAATTTTGTTTTCGAGTTTTTGTGTTGTTTTATTTGGTGATTCTTTTGCTTTAACAGGGAAGTAATATGGTATTGTGCCTTTTTTATATACTTGCATGTTCGCGCTATTCTTTGAAATGTAATTGATCTTATTTGAATCCTTTTTTAATTTTAGCCCATTTTTAATATAATCGTGCTCATATTTTAGATAATCTATTTCTATATTCAATTTAGTACATATTTTATTTTTAGACGATATTGTATTTAAGCTGGTGCAGTTATTCAGTAATTTGTTTATGTCAATAAAAGTACAATTTTTATAGTTTTTTACAATAAGTTTGATTTCAGCATTAAGTTTATGAACATTTAGATAATTATTTTGTTGTACGCTTAACAAAAATATTTTACAATGCTTTAAGTTACATAGCGTATTGCATAAGTTAGTTAAAAAAAGGTAAGGATTTTTGTCATTACAACCTGCAGATAATATCAGTATGTCATTATTGTTTAAAGAATCTTGTAAATAGGTGCAGCTTCTTAGTACTTCTGAGCTCGATGCGAATGGTTTTACCATACCAGAGACAGTGTAGCAATCATTATGTAATCCAGAACGAGATAATTTTAATTTCGCTGCCAAGCCTCTAGCCTGTTGATCACCGATTATATGGATAATAGGCTTCCTCATCTTTTTTTGATTAGCAGAGTCATCTAGCGACGAGGCTGGAGAACTATTATGGATTTGATGACTCGGGGTGCTTAGATCGCCGGCGCTTCCTCGATGACTTTTTTCTTTAGTCCTAGATGGCGTGCTACTAATTTGTTGTAAATTATTAGAGCTACATTCCTCCTTTTCATCTTCCAGAAAATCCAAGACTGTTTTGTTTATACTCTTTCTGGTTTTTCTGGTCGTGGTAGTTTTTTTTAAGGTTGGGCTACATATATCTGCTAAAAATTTTGTTTTTATTTCATGTTTGCAAAGTAATTGTTTTAATTTTGTATTTTCTAATAAAATATTTTCTATTTCAGCTTCAGCAATTTGTAGTTTTTCTTTTAGTTCTCGATTTTGTGTCTCAAGATTTTCTATTCTATCTTCCATGTTTAACTTTCTCAAATCTGGGCAGCTATTAGTTTTGCTATTTTGCGTTAATATGGTCATTATATCCGAGTTTTCATCGTCAGTTAAGATCTCGAACGAGTTATTTGTAGGAACATTTACTGACAAATTGTTTTGCGCATTTAAGAAGCATTGGTCACATTTCCATTTTGCTTTATTATCCTCGGTCATCAATGAAAACCTCTTAACAGAAACATTTGCGCAATCAATATGGTAATTTTGTGTACAAAAGAAACAGCATAAATAACTGTCACGTTTCAATATTCTTTTATTGCATTTTATACACTTTACTGCCATCCTGTCGCTCCGTCAAACACTTATCGCGTTTTTTGAATAAAAATAGCAATTATCAATCCACAAAAACAACAAAGTATGGAATACGGCAGGTAGATTTGAACCTCGAGTTCACGGTTATGTTAACAGACCAAGGCGTTGATTCCGCAAGGCTACGATGTAATATATCTTAACGTCGAAATTTAGTTATATATATTTCTTGTCACATGTTTAAACGGGTCTTTGGCGGTTATTATGAATCATCTTAATGGAATTTCTTGTCACTACCACCACTTTATTAATAATTTTATCACTTTTTGTTAATCATAAGGGTCACTGAGAATTTTTATAGGATTGTTATTGATTTATATTATATTTTTCCACGTTTTTTACACTTATATTCACTATGATTATGCACTAGTTACCACTTATTTTTTTGAGTTTTTTTTATAAATTATGTGGTATTTTTTAAATGTTTATGGTATTAACACCAAAAGAACGTTATTGTCTACAATTTTTTTGAAAATTCACTTCACAATTTTTTGTTTTAATATTTTTAAATGACAAAAATACACAGAGCTGAAATTGACGTGACGGCCTATGTACGTGTAAACCAAACTGGTGTAAACAAAACATACGGATGGTCATCGTTCTCTACACGTAGCCAAAGGATGGACAGATCCAAGCCTTCGAGACTGCCAAGGCTTCGAAAACGGATGTTCTCTCTGACGTACACGCAAACTTCACCCCGATGCACAAAGGAGTGTTCGAGTTCCAGTTTGTATTTGGAGATATATGAAGTATCAGCTGGTAGACACATGCGTCTCGTTCAGAAAGAGCAGGGCTGGCTTTGCCGTCTCGAGATGGTAGTGGACAGCGTTTAGATTTCAGTGAAGTCCCCTGATATTGCAGAAATTCACGGATAGCGTGGCAGGGGTCGCCTTGGTCTTGTCTTGCTTCGAGCAGTTATTATCATGAGCCAAATTTTGCCCCGCCCCCCATAATGCCCATGGGGTGGCCTGAGTATCCACGCTCAGCAGGAGTAGGGTAGCTTGGGCGTGGATGGTTAGCGAGGAATTCTCCGTCACGTTTTAAAGCAAGAAATCTTTTCTGATGTTCTTGATGTGATAAAAGCATCACCAGCCAAATCGAATGTTGCAGAGAGAGAGCAATATTTTTGAAGATTTACATTCTATGAGCTCATTGAACGGACTCGACGGCTCGTTTTAATTTCATAATCTGCTCATTGGCTTCACTGGGTAACTGCAATGCAGCAATTAATCTGAGGGATTTCTCATATTCCTTGCTGCATCAGTCAAACTCATCGACTATTCCCTGAAGCTGATACCTTTCTTTTAAAACATTCGTACAGTTTTTATGCAATTTAACCATATCACTTTTTTGTTGAGTATTTATGGCCATTATATTTATTTTTTCCATGGTATGCAATAACTACATAACATCAGGTGTAAGGTCGTTAGTAAAATATTAAAAAAGGAAGCATTATTAGAAATTTTTAAAGTGGTAAAGCCACGCTGCATCTATATTATGGTTCTAACACGAATATGTCGGCTTAACCGGGGTAGGGCCGAGCCCTCACATAAAACTAACGTAAAATAGCAGCTTAATGCTCCTGTGTTTCGAATGATTAGTGTAGATAGGTAACATCGCATCTCCATATTGATTCTTAATCGAGGATAAATGTAGATGTTTCTGGACCACAGCATCCACTTACCATCCGGTGGACTGCGTGCTCATTTGTCACTCTTATCCTATAAAAAAAGTTTCTATGTTTACCAAACAGCTTTTCTAGTATGATCAGTATTGAAAATGAAAAAACCGACAATACAATTTTTATTGGTTTAAATAAAAGTTTGATAATTTAGGCAAAGCTAATTTATTTCAAAATTTCAACAACGGAACCTTTCGCATCTGTTTTTCAATTTGCTTGACACTCTTGTTTTTAATATCAGGAAGCATAGATATCGCGTATATAGCGCCGAATATATTGATGCAAGCAAACAAGTAAAGTAGCGTGTAGATTCCAACGTAATCCTCCAGATATTGGAACGTTAGGGTGTGTGCTAGCTTTATAATTTGAGAATATACGAAGACGATCCCTATAAGCATTACTCGTATCTGAAAAGTGAAAGTAATTATATTTTATTGAAATATTTTTTTTATTTGTGTAATGTATTACGAGCAATAAAGATTAAAGTAAGTTTTTATGTGGTAGGCCCACGCTGCAGCTATATTTTAGTTATAGCACAAATGGTCCAGGATCACGCTCTCACAAAATACCAATGTGAAGTTGCAGCATAATGCTGCTGTTTTGTTGACCGAAGTTATTTACTTAGTACTTATCTTCACGACATTAGGAGAGAAGAAGGTATACGTTTTGACCGAAGTTGCTAACCGAATAACCTTTTTTACTTGAATTATTTATTATTTTTCTTAATCCTGTTGACAACGCATCTACATTTTGATTTTTAATTGAGAATAGAATTAAATATCTATGCGCTACAGAATTTATTTACCATTGCGTGGAATGTGTGCTCGTTGCTGACACATAATAAAAAAAGCAACTTCTACTATAGTTCATAAAAGATAGCTTGATCTCTGCGACAGCTGTCAGTAAAAATCACACCTATGAAGTTCTGAATTTCTTAGTACTTCAGACAGTACCTGTCAATGTCATACTTTATGGGCATGCCGACCTAATTAGTGCATGCCCATAAAGTATGACATTGACAGGTACTGTCTGAAGTACTAAGAAATTCAGAATTTCATAGGTGTGATTTTTACTGACAGCTGTCGCAGAGATCAAGCTATCTTTTATGAACTATAAGTGCGTATTACTGCTTGTTTCGCAGTATTAATGGGGTTTCCTCTCATTTTTGAGGGGTTTTAAGTAATTATTTCACGGCGATGCTCTCGCGTGCCTTAACGGATTTTATGTTCTTGAAATACTTTGATTCCTCAGACATGCAGGTTTCTTTCAACATCCTTGCTTCACCGTTAAGCACTTGGTAAATTAGTACTTAAAATTGTAATAAACTAATTTATTGGTGCTGGAGGGATCGAATTTCTCATGTACTGTGAAATCCAAAATCACTGCTCCATAAACTGGAATTTTTAATTGCTGATTTTTCTCGTGCTCTGCGGTGAATAAATCTTTCTGTCCTGCTCAAAAATCCTCCAAGAGACGATAGAAGTACTTAGTATTTGGATATAAACACAACAGAATCTAGGGATATCTTATATTTCATCAAATATCTAAAAATCTATGGAGAATTATCGGATAATATCTTTCATTCCCACCATTCTTCCATTTACTTTACTATGGTAATGGCAGAATGATAGGTTTTAAAGGCCTTAAAAATAAATTAACATTTCGAATTTTTTAAATAAAAATGTTAATTTTTTAATCACCGTGAGAAATTTGTACGATAAAAATCTTCATTCATTCTTACATATAAACTACATAAAAAATCTAATTACTATTAATCAGTGTTGCCACCTCTGACATTAATTACACATCAACATTGATTGTTTATACTTAAAATTAAATTGTCAATGTCTTGCTTCGGTATGAGGTCCCGTGTTTTTGCAAGTGTTCGTAAATTTGTTACTCCGTCGTCAAATAAGGCGGGCTCTCAAAGCTTTTCGTTGTAACATGTCCCAGGCATGCTCGATAGAATTTAAATCGGGCGACTGTACAGGCCAAACCAAAACTTGAATATCGTGGTCTCGGAGAGCGAGCAACACCAGCCACGCCGTATGGGAAGGAGCATTTTCGCGCATGAGTAGAAATTCCTGGCCTATTTGGATATTGTATGGGACAATAAAAGGCTCTACTATCTCTTCGTGGTATTTTTGTGCAGTCAAGCTGCTTTGAATCCAAGCAAGCTGGGTTCGTCCGCCAAGACGAATTCCTGCCTACACCGTACCGTGATTGTCCCGCCTTGGTATGAGTGGACCTCCTGAGCGTGCCGTAGACTCCTTACTCTCCCTGAAGTTCCCCAAACGCGTGTTCTTCGTGAATCCAGATGAAACCCAAACCGGGGCTCGTCGGTGAACAGCACCAAAGACCATTGTTCATCACTCCATGGTAAATGTTTTCGAGCCCCCGACAGCCGCCGTCCGCGATCGCCTCGTCACAATGCTGGAACACGTAGCAGTCTTTGAGCATGAAGACCAACTTCATGCAACCTCGTTCGCACAATTTGGTCGCTTACCAGCAGCTGGTGGTCCTCCTGGGTTCTTTGTAGTAGTTGCGTCGCTGTGACATTGGGTTGTCTTCTGGCGGTCATTTGGAGAAATCGATCCTGTCTCTGCGTAGTAACACGATATCTACCCGTGTGCTGTTTAGCCACTTCCCCAGTACTGCGATAACGTGACCATAATCTTGATATCACGTTTTGGCTGATGTGTAGGGCCTCAGCAACGACGCGTTAGATATCACCATTTTCTAACATGCCCATGGCTGGTAACATTTCATCTCGACTAAAATGACAACGTGACATGACTCTTAAAGCTCACACGGCACCAAAAAAGAAAAAGTCTTTTCGTTAATTAGTGTCAGTAGAACAATTTTAATTTTCTTTGCTGTAATGAATTATTCTTATGTTTTTTTTAATTTACATTATAAAATTTTGAAAACAGAATAAAAGAGGTTTCAATCCGTATACACTATTTATGGAAGCTAAAAAGATTTTAAACTATAAAATCGTAAATAACTTAGGCTTAAGGTATCCTTAGATTCTGTTGTTTTATTGTTCAAATAATGGTTTGAAGAGAATTTTTATAAGTACGTAAAAACTTTTGTACGCAAATCTTTATAGGATATTTTGTAAATTTTAAGTGTCTACGCATTTGAACTATTAGAGAAAATCACGAAACAGGGTAATTTTTGATATAAACCGCAAGTATTTTGTCCGAATATGCGCCTTAGGAGTTTGAGTACTGTCGTCATCAACTGCCTGCTGGGTTAAGTGATCTTCAAAATCCCCTACAAACTTCTCAATGTGACTTGTCGTAATCAATCAGCATATTGAAAAAGTTTTTCTACAAATACTATAAGGAATAAATACTTATTACTTAACACTGGCAAAAGTGTAACCCTACGAGTCAAAAACCAAAGAAATAAAAGTATATGTGCTCCGAGTGAAACACCTCTTTAAAACTGTAGTTCAGTTTATCATAGTAATTTTATTAAAAAATTTAATTAAAACTAATTTACCTCTAAGTTAAGCATTTCAACCAGGACAACTGCAGGCATATTCCAGACCATGCCATAACTGAAGACTAGAATAGCCAGCGCCACGATTGGCAACCATCTGACAGATGTCACGGTGAGATCTGCTTGTGTAAAAACTGCCAAGACGCCCATTGATAAAATCATGATGCTATATGAGATGGTAATCAGATACTGTAAAAAAATATTATATATGTTTCTTATTTATCTATTATACGAAATTTGTTGTGTTTACTTTTAACTTTTTCTCTTTAGTCACTAGGTCGACAGGTGTTTAACGCCCTGAATAGATAGCGCAGGATAACTCCAGATTTTAAATTATAATATTTTTATTTATTTAATTTTTATATCCACACCTTATATTAAAGCAAGTAGCTTAGTGGCTGGGCAACCGATCATTGCTCGGCACTAGAAAAAAAATCCAGGGTTGTTTAATTAATAATAAATGTTACAAACTTTGAAAGTAAAACATTATGTGATTACAATCAAAGTCTTTGTAGTTATTTCTGAGAAACCAATTAAATACTCTATATATAAGTATACGTGGCAGTTATTTCTTTCTAGAACAAGGGTGTCAAATAATTACACCTGTCAAGTCGAACACTTCCTGCTACTATTGTTATAGTAAGGAATATTGTCCTTGTCGCAGAGTGAGTCTAGCATGGTATCATTTCCGCATCAGTGGAATTTTTTTAAAAAGAAATTCTTGACACCTGGCACATTTTTCTAAATGACTATATATATTTTCAATAAAATTATATAACTAGGTGATTAAATGCAACGATATTACAAAAAATCTATTTGCCAGTTCTGTCTTACTATCCAATTAAAATCTGGGTATCTACAAAGTACCTAGAGCTTCATCATCGCTTACAACCAGGTCAAATTGAAATCAAGCTTCGGCTTGTAATTAAATAATAGTAGTAATAATAATAATAAATAAAGGAGGAGGTACTTACTCTTCTTTCCAAAAAAATTACAAATATAACACATGTTAGGCCACCAACCAACAAACATAAAGGGACTAATGTTTTTTGAGGATCAATATCAGTTTTCAATTGCGCCAAGCTTTTATCTTGATTTAGAAATATATTACACCCACTTAGAATTGTTGTTGTGTTTAAGAATAATCCAATCTTTATTTGATCCCTCCACATTTTATTCCTTACTGCAAATATTAATCAGTAAATATCGCAAATAATTAAATATACTACATGTATTTTTATAATATTATAAGTTAGTGTTACCGTACAGTAGCAGTGTAAGAATATTTACCCAGAAACAGAAACGATTTTTTTTATTCAATATGGATTATAAACAATACTTATTGAAAATTACTTTTTTTCATTTACCACTGGTTCGCAAAAAAAAACCTTTGTCCTGGGAAGAATCAGCAAAAAACTCAGCGGAACAATTTTTTAAACAACAGCTTACAATCATTACAGTATGTTTTACAATTAACAACACAAAAAAAAATAGAAGTACCTTGGTAGCGATCACCATTCCCAAGGGTTATTATCATTCATAAATTCCTTAAGGGGAAATATAATCTCAAATGGCTTAGGAAGATCCTTCGTTATGCCGAAAATATTGCAGCATTAATTTTGAAATAAATATATGGTAAAGTTGAGGATGTTAGACGAAAACACGATTTCGTAAAATTTTCTCGATAGAATATAATCCAAAGTTACCTCCAAACTAAAGAATAAACTGCTGTTATTCATTTAATACTTTAAATAAGATCATGAAACTTTGCATACTAACTGAACTAACTATAAAGCAGTGCTTATGTTATTTACTTTTACTTTTTTTAAAATACCATTATTTTCACTGTAAAAAAGAAATTACCTAAACTATCGGCCTTTTGAAGCGTGATTCCTGCCGCACGGTCACTTCGCTTCGGCCTTTGAAGGGGGAGGTTGTGTCGCTTACGATCAGAATATACATATATATTCTGATGTACGCAACCTTCAGGACGACGTAAAATTAAAATGGGAAATAACCGTAATAAAAATAAGAAGCGACTGGCTTGGCGTTAAGAAACAGGCATAAATACGATAAACCTAGTGAAATAAGTGTCTAACGACCTTTCTATTTACAGTATTAGTGATTACAAACATGTCGGTATATAGCGTACGACGCGCGGGCAAGTGGAGACGAAATTAGAATTTGAGCTGACTTACTCTATCCCCTTAATATTATACTAACCCTTTTTATTCAAACTTAGTTTAATAAAGTTTTTGAACTTTGTGTATGTTATGTATGTCCCACTACCCCATATCGTCCCGTGGATGTCGTAAGAGGCAACAGAGGGTAACAAATCGACTAAAAATAAAAAAATGAGGCTACCAACTCGCTTGCCAAGCGTCTATAGCACATATCACCCATACGAGGCAATCTATGGAGTAAGCCTATGTTCAGCAGTGGACTTTAGTAGGCTGAAACGGAAACGGTAAGCCAGTGCCTGCTTGACTGTTATCCCACACGATGGTAAATGGTGACGGCCAAAGACAGTAAAGCACTCTGTCTTAGCTTAACAAAAGTCTATCCACTTTTTCCTTGAAGACGCCCACATGTTATTCGGATATAAAGACTGATGCTGGCAAACTATTCACTCCTTTGCAGTACGCATTATGACATAAGAACAAGAACGAGCGTCTGGTAGCCTGATGATGGAATAGATAGCGAGGACTCCTACATGATTGTTCTTCTTTATCAGGCTTATCAGTTGAATCACAAATTTTTATAAAATAGAGGTGATAAACGAGCACACCTGATGATAAGAGGATATCGTGGTCCATAGACATCTACATCTGTACTCGCTTAAGAATCAAAATGCAGATGCGTTCTCACCTCTGAGAACCATATCTGGTTTTCAGGAGGCATTCTATCGAATGCCTCGATTCTAGTAAAAAAGGTCTCCGGTTCTTTACACTCACCATATGAAACAGCTACTACTACCTTTTACGTGGTAGAGCCATATTGCAGCTATTGTAGCACGAATGGGTTGGCTCTACCGGGGAAGGAATACCAGCATAAAATAACAGCATAACGCTGCTGTGTTTCGTATGGTGAGTGTAGAGAACCGGAGACCCTTTTTACTGGAAAGGAGGTATTCTATATTAGTTCTCACGGCTGACAAAGCATTTGCATTTTGATTCGTAATCGAGAATAAATGTAGATGTCTATGGGCCACAGCAACCACTTACCATCAGGTGGACTGTGTGCTCGTTTGTCACCCTTGTCCTATAAAAAAACACCATTGACTATTTACTATTTAACGCAGGTATTCTATGAGAACGTGGTCCTTTCCCGGTCGAGCCGACCCAATCGTGCCACCATAATATAGCTGCAACATGGTTGTATACGATTTTTATTTTCAATACCAGACACCTCGGACATTTGATGCTGCGCCTCGCTTATGGTCATGTTTTTGTGCCTGCGTTCATGTGATGTTGTCTGCCGTTACCTATGAATAGCTGCAATACCAAATAAATCGTAGAACTGTTGTCAGCCTTTAATGGGGCTGTTTTCTTGAGGGCCTTTAGGTCCATATTAATAAATGTTCACATCCATTAATCACGTGACGGAACGTAAGGAAGGGGGGTTGACAAAAACCGAAATATCACAAGGGGCAGGGGATGTGGTAAGATTATCACGTGTATTTATTTTTTCGACAAACGAGCGATTTCTAAAGTGTAATGTGACCTTGACTCGCCAGTACATGTAAATTCCTATCACAATCACAAGCATGAACCAAATCCGAGCAATAATAGTCTAGAGATGCATAACGCTCGTCCTTCACACTACCTCACGCGACGATCGATCGTTGTGCATTTTTGATATTTTGGAATGATTAGGAAATAATTTTGCACAAATTGCTTTAATTATAACACCCACGAACATTCGCGCGAAGAGAGGGGGATACTTTCTCTCCTACGCCGCGCCGGCTCTCTGTCTCTCTCTCTCTTCATCTTTCGTCTTACGAATTTTCGATCAGGGTCACGGGTCCTGACGCGAGTTTAACATTTTTACCCATTACAAAAGTGTACAACGCCGCTAAAGAAGTTTTCACTTCAAAAAAAATTTATTTTGGCAGAGTAAATACTTACGAATCACACAAATAGACAAATTTCCATTTGATTTAGCCCTTTCACTGTCCTCTTTGAGTTGGTGGATTTCATTCGCTACAGAAGGATCGTCTTGATTTAAACAATGAAGCTTTGCTACACTGATTTTGGCTTCCTGGATAATAGAATTTAAGATTTTTTTTAAATAAAAGATAAGGGGGATTCGTGTGGCTATTAAAATTAAAAATAAATCTTATACCATACTGCTGCTATATTAGGTTTGTAGCACGAATGGGTTGGCTCAACCGGGGAAGGACCACGCTTTTGCAGAATAGCAGTGTTAACAATTTAATATCAATGTGTTTCGTATGGTGAGTGCAGAGAACTGGAGGTCATCAGTCCAGAAGGGTGATAACGCATCTGCAGTTTGATTTTTAATTAAAGATAAATGTAGGTACCTATAGGCTACAGCAAACTCTTACGGTCAGATGGACTTTTTGTTCGTTTGTCACCTTTAGTCTAGAAAAATTTCCTATTTTTAATGGCTAAGTTAGCTAGGTGCTACCTGCTACTTGGGAGCCTATAATTAATAAAGTAAAGTCCAACCTAAGCTTACCGCCGCAAGACTAAGATAAGTTCATTCTACGTGAGCAGATCCATAACCTAAGCAGAACTTAACCGGGGTTAACTGTTATAACAGGACGTTGAACACTTCGGCTATGACGTTTTTTATAAGGTTGCAAATGAGCAATCAGTCAACCTGATGGTAAGTGGATGCTGTGGCCCATAGACATCCTCATCTGTTCTTGATTAAAAATTAAAAATGCGTTATCACCATTAATGGCTAAAATGGAATGCCCCAATTCCCGTAAAAGGGGTCTCTAGTTCTTTATATTATTAACTAAACACCACACAGCAACATTAAGCTGCTATTTTACGCTAATATTCTGTAAGACCGTGGTACTTCTTCCATTCGTGCTACAGTTATACTACTAATATAGCTGCAGCTTTGCTCTGACGTATATACGGCATATAATAGAAGTTATACCGCAAAAACGCAACTCATCGTAGGCTATGAAATTTTACCTGTCCAATTATCGTATCTAACGAACCCTGGGCGAAACGGGCGATTGATACCTTCTGCCATTAAAACACGGTAATTTTTTTAATTTTTAATGTTACTGTCACATCCTATTAAAATCCACTGTTGGCATATTTATAGGTATGTAAAATAACATAGGCCTCCCCTAAAGATTTATAAGAGGGATATTTGTCATAGTTGCCAGGCTTGGCAACGGGTTGGCAAACGCAGTATTTTAATATCAGACGTTATTAGGAAGATGCTGCTGCCCATCTCCTGATTTGTTACCCTCTGTCGCCTCTTACGTTATATCCGTGATGATATGAGATATTCTTACACCGCCACTACACGGTGGGCCACCTCTATGAGAAAACATTTTTCTCAAAGTACTTGCTGCATATAGATATCTTATTTTATGAAAACATTCTTCTCTATTTATTATTTTCAACCATTTCTGTCGATCATTAATATTTTGTGAAAATCTACCACAGCATCCACCTACCATCTTATTAACTAGAGTACAGTCATGTGGACTGTATGCTAGTTAGTAAGAAGACGCTGCTGCTCATCTCCTGATTTGTTACCCTCTGTCGTCTCTTACGACACCCACTTGATGATATTGGACAGTGGATATTCTTACAACGACACTACGCGTCATTATAATTCTTTTACTCACATGTAACTTGTCAGTCTTCACAAAAAAACTTGGACTTTCTGGAATGTAGAACACTGTCACAACTTCAATGGCAACTAATGCAACCATCAAATATAGCATTGAATCATATGACAGTATCAGTTTCATTGCATTGCCTGCAGAGGTCATTAGCATCATGAGTGATATTGTCAGCCCCCTGATTCGGTCTGCACTTATCTCCCTTATATATATTGGTACTATAATGAACAATCCCCCGGTTGAAATCCCCGCAATTGTAGCTTGAACTATTATTATTCCTGTGTCTGTCGAAGAAATCAGTAACGGTATGCATATGACCTGAAAAAATAAAGTTTCATTATTAATAAATTAATTTCACCTGAGCAACTGTTTTTTTATATTTTTATGGTAAAAGGAAGTCAAATGAGAAATTAATGTAGGTACCTGGTGGTAAGTCTATATAGTGAGAGAGCCATTCTGAACCTATATTACGGTTGTAGTATAAATGTGTTGACTCAATCGAGAAAGAACCACGCCCTTACACATCAGTGTTAAATAGCAGCTCAATTCTCCTACGTTTCACCGTGTGAGACCTTACTTACTATCAGGTGGAAAGTGAGAGGTGGAATGACTCGTTTGTAACATTTATTTTATAAAAAAAGTGTGGATGCTATGGACCATAGACGTTTACATCTTACCTAGATTAAAATCTAAATGCAGACGCGTTGTCACCCCTGAGGGTTAAGATTAAAAGGATCTCCAGTTGTCTACACTCACCATAGGAAACACAACACTAAGCATATGTTCCGTGTCGCTTCGCTACTGCGCTATGTAGCTATCCCATTAACATTCCATTAATACCTCAATTGGCGACAGGACGTAATAATGTCCTCAAGATAGAATTTCTGTCACAGGGACGAGTTTCAACGGGGACGGGCCATATGCGCTGGACTGGATTACAGTACCCGAGTGTATGCCCAAGCACTCTCTATTCCCTCACTCTCATATTTCGAGGAAACGGTAATCCGACAGGATTGAAGAGAGATCAGGTGCAGAACTAACGGCTTTAAGTGCTTTTCGAGGCGCGGGGCCTAAACAACACCAACATCCTAACTCCGGTATGCTACTGAGAATTTATTATCAGAAAAACCCAATAACTGATTTTGACCCGATCCGGGATTCAAACCCGGGACCTCAAAATCATCAGTCGTTACAACTACAAGACCAACGAGGCAGTCCAGGATGTAATAATTAATTTGCCAAGTGTAGCAGTCATAAAAACTACTCTCAATCGTAGAAGAGGCTCATATGTTATCGGTAGGTAGGTTGGAATCCCGGGTCGGGTAAAACAAAGTCAGTTTTGAGTTTTTCCATCAAGAAATTCTCCGTAGCTGCCCGGAGTCAGAAAATTGGCGGTGTCTCACCCCCGTGCCTCGGAAAGCCCGTAAAGCCGTTGGTCCTGCGCTTATCTTTATCCGGTTGCGTCGGTTTACCGTCCCATCGGCCCATGAGAGCGAGGGAATAGAGAATGCACCTGTGCTTGCGCATACACTTGGGCACTATTATCCTGTCCTGCACCGATGGCTAGCCTCCATTGAGGTTGGCGGGCATGACCGAAATTCGGTCTGGAGGACATTATTATTTTCCGAATCAACACGAAAGTTTGGAGAGGAGAAACGACTTTTGGGATTCTACGCACGGTGCTTTTTTTTTTTTTTTTTCCTTGTACTACTATGGCTGCTATCCCAATAATTCAAGGCGGCTGGTTGAGGTCTGTTGTTAGTTAAGCAGGAATGCATTTTCTGTTGTATTACAGTTTTAAAGAGTAAGAGAGCCAATGATCACGTGGTGACGCATTTTATCTTAGTCATCAGGCTGGACAACGAACTTATAGCTTCTATACTTTGAAGTAGCCACTTACCATCAGATGGTTATTAGATTATGTACAATGGCTGATTTGTCAAATTGTTGCTCAATGTGAAACCTATCACAAGACCACTACTGAATATAGGTCTCCAAAATAAATTGCCTTATAATAGAGAGGATTTTGGCCATTTGGCACATTTTTTATGATCTGTAATCTAAAGGATCTGCCTATCTTCAGTTTCATTTGCCTCTATCGCCTCTAACGACACCTACGGGATGACATGGTGAAGTGGAGTTGGCAAGCTCATATAATTGGTCAATCCGCCTGCCAAGTGTTTGCCAAGTTATCGCAAATATCCTGATATATATGTTAGCGGCCAAACTAGATTTCTGGCTAAACTAGTTTGTCCTAGGCCAAACCAGTTTACCGGACCCGTGTCAAGACATACTAGTGTAGCCCAGGGCAAGTTCTAATTTGGCCTAAATACTTTAGGCTTAACTACATAGTTTGGCCTTGGCAAAATTGATTGAATCACTGCGTAATCTAATCTTAACTAACCTAGCCTAATATTGACCTAAATTTACTAAAACAATTAAGCCTAAAGTATTTAGTCCAAACTAGATTGTCTTGAGCTAAGCTAGTATGTCTGACACGCGTTAAAAAAGCCGATTTGGCCTAGGATAAACTAGTTTGGCTTGAAGTCGGGATTGGCCGGTAACAATTATAACTTTTGTAAGGAGGTAAGGATAGTGATGAGGATGATGATGATTATTATTAATCAATCACTGACCAGTATCACGTAACTAGCATGTAACATATTAAATAAATTCGCGAAATATCGCATAGTGTGCGAAATACTGTAATACAAGCACGATAACGCTGACGAATGGGGTGACATTAGGTCAAATCCCACTTGAAACAAGTGATCATGACCTTTAAATAATTGTTTAGGTTATGTATGTGTGCCTTTATCCAACTCATGTATGTAAACCGTGTCCACGATATGATGTAAAACTTACCCCTTGTAGTATCACTACTATATAGATGCCAAGTTTTCTTCCAAATTTGCTTATTATAAAACAGTGTATCGGAGCTGTGACTATTGAACTGACGATAAAAGCTACTGTACTCCATGGTACATTTAAAGTGCTAATAACTTGTCCTAAGTTTGAAGGTGCGGTAAGAAAATCATTTTCTATTCCATATGTAAAGAAAGGAAGGCTGGCTGAAAATAATAAATATACTTTTATTAGATAAAAAAAAATATATTAGTTCAGCAAGTGGTTAATTCTGTGTATTTGGGATGTATTTTTAACGGATGGTAGATATGATAAGGATATAGAACGACGAGTGAATGCAGGTAATAGAGTAAATGGGGCTCCTCACTCTACTATCTCTGTGGGAAGTAACAATGTGCCAGTGGTAGTAGTATATATATTTAAATCTCTTTGGAAATTGTCCCCCCCCGAACGGGTTCCCGCCTTGTCGTGGCGGGGGGCTTAGAAGCCGTGGCTTGGTCACCCACGGCGAAACAAAGAGGAACCCATATGGCTGGTCCGAGGTGGAGGGCCGGCCCGAGGTGGCCACTCCGAGTGGGCTTGGGAAGCCCACTTCGGATGTGTGTTGGTGGACTGCGGTGAGAGGTGTGTCCTCCCCACCTACCGCTGCAGCCGAGGTGGAGTCGCGGAGGAAGAGGAGTGTTGGTACGGCGATGCGCCACTCGCCCTATCCTCCGCGACTCAAACGGGGCCGCACCGTTGATGCGGTGGTGATGGGGCTGCGGGGGGAGAGAATTGTCGGTATTGCGAGGCGCCGCTCTCCCTATCCTCCGCAGCCGAATCTTGGTTGGCGGCGGAGCCATAGACCAGATCCGCTGCTGGGGTCGGGAAGGCTAGTACTTCTAAGTGCTCGTTTTTCCTGGCCCCATGGCCTTCGCGCATCGGACGCGGGGGCGTCTGTTGCGCAGATGTAATTGGAGGCCGTGGAGGAAGGCGTGCCATGTGTTCTGGTGCGCCTTACTTGGGAAGGAGAACGGGGAGGAATATTCCTCTCCCGATGAGGTGCTGCCATGGGGCGGCAGTCGCTGGTGGGGCCGCGGAAGTGTGCGAAAGCGTTCCCGTAGCCCTGCCAATATGCGACGAAGGTGGAACACCATGGGGTTTTAGTTGGTGCGAGTCCGACATAACCCGTCCTTGCCCCCGCGAGGCGGGTATGCGTGGGCATTTCCCCATCTAAAAAAAAAATAAAAAAAAAAGGGTGAGAAATTGTGTGATAAGAGAAAAGGGTGGATTGCAAGATAATTGTTGTGAAGATTAAGAAAGGAATGCTTTGGTGGTTTGGTCATGTAGAAGAAATGAACGAGGAAAGCGTGAAAAGGAAATTTATATTGCGAAAGTAAACGAAAGAGTCAAGAAGGGTCACCTTGGACGAGAGTTTATTGACCAAATTAGCGATATAGTAAAGATGGGCCAGATTAAGAGTAACTTCACTGACTGAGTATGTATGCGTAATTTTTTTAATTTATTTATTACACAAAAATACAGTCGGTTGTTCTTTATACAACTTTCGCCAAACTGCAGGGCAGTTTGTTGGCGAATACATCACCCTCTTACATTTTATGTACCTACTGTAAGTTTTATAATCCTTAAGAACTTAAAATACACATAAACTGTATTTAAAACTTAAAAATAGAAAATTAAATTTACACTAATTTAAAAGATTTAAACTAATTAAAACTAAGCGCTGTTACTACTATTACATACCTTATTATATGTAATATTTAAACAGATTAAACACATTTAAAATCATCAAATTAAATCAAATTAATTTAAAACTATAACTTTAATTAAGACAACATTAATTATTACACATATAATTATCCGGAAATCTTTTTAAATATTTCTTTATTAACACATTCGTTTTCAGAAAATAAACTAGTAGTATTCTGCCTACCCCTGGGTTACAGGCGTGAGTGTTTATGTTTATGCATGTCATGTTTAATTTAATTTTAATTGTGATATGAATCGAATTTGATTTTTTTTACGTGGTAGAGCCATGTTGCAGCTATATTATGATTGCAGCACGAACGGGTCGCCTCGACCGGGGTAGGACCACGCCCTCACAGAATACCAGCTTAAACAGCAGCTTAATGGTGTTGTGTTTCGTATGGTGAGTGTAGAGAACCGGATACCCTTTTTACTAGAAACGAGACATTCCATCTCAGTCCTCAGGGCTGACAACGCATCTGCATTTTGATTTTTAATTAAAGATAAATAAAGATGTCTATGGGCCACAGAATCCACTTAACATCAGGTGGACTAAGTGCTCGTTTGTCATCCTTATACTACAAAAAAATTGATTAAGGGCCAATTTTTCAATCGTTGAATAAACATACCGATAGTGTTTATTCGATAGATAGCAAACAATTTAAATTTTTGTTCGTTGGATTTATATATAATACGGCTACCTGAGGAAAAAATTATCCTGTCCCTTTGACGGCCTGCGGTGCTAGCCAAGTTGATCAAGTTGATGCTCTTCACTTGTTAACAATAAGAGAAAACTATAAGAATGAATGGGAGTGATATATTTCTATATCAGAATGGAATAGAATAATTTTTATTTAATTCTTATTAAAAATTCTACATTTATTTCTTTTTTATTTATTACTACGTAAAGTTATGCATTGAAACACAGGTTGTACAAACTACTTATTTAAGAAATAGTTTGGAAGCAACCACTTCATTCTCAGGGGTTATTATCAACCATGTATTAATTTAAATATGATCATGTGTCAGATTTTCATCACAGGCTTACGTTGTTGCCAATTCGCCTTCGCCGGAATGCTTAGATTCTCTCACTTCTTTATAATATTCTATATAATCCTTTCTATTCTACTTACCTAAAAATCGGTTTGAATTTCTCTAGGACTTACATTTGAGACATTTGAGATCATCAGAAAATTTGATATTAAAGATGCCAGCTCGCACTTCCAAATCTTTGGACAGATCATTCACAATACAAGCTGTCCGATTATGGAACGACTTGCCGTTATCAGCAAGACGCGCTCAATCCCTATCGGTTTTTAAGAAACATGTACATAATTATTATTTTCAACTTTGCACCTTTATTTCTAATTTATAGTTTATAATAAAAATAATGTTATAATTGTTTCCAAATCACATATATGCTTTTATTGTTTTCTTGCAATCTTGTCCATATAAAGGTTGTCTGAAAGAGATCGCTCTCAGCGATAAGATCGCCCATTGTAACACATTTTTTCTCTCCTTTTTTTTTGTTTATATTTATGTTTTTTTTTGGCGTGAAATAAGATATCATCTATCTATCTATCTATCTATCCCTTTTTTTTTAATAAAATATTTAAACTTGGTAATAGACCGTGCATATTTTAATTATTAATTTATCAATGAATTACTTAATATGTGGAGTTGAGAAAATTGTATCACTAGCTTGTGTTTGTTCCTAGTGTTTACAGAGTGTGCATCACTTTTTAAACTAAAATTACTTTTGTTTTTGTGAACATACATTAAATTTTCGTAAATATACTGAGAGGCCAATGCTTAGCTCTTACGGCCCTCTTCTGCAAAACAAAAATAGTTTCTAAATACCATTTAACGACTCAATGCTAACGTCACGTATTTTAGTCTCGATTTTATTTCCTTTTATAGTATGGTGGTTGGTAACTCGGCGATGGTGTACCAGATATTCGACAAAAAGTTTTATTTGACGAAAGATGATGTAAAACAAAAAAAAAACTTTAGGACACTTTAAAAACCGGTTAGAAGTTGATTTGCTGCAGCACCATCTATTAATTAGTTATAACAAAGTGGATAACATATTAATATTTAACAGAAAAAAAATAAAAAGATTTGCCAATTATCATGGTGATCGGTCAACTGATTAATCTAAAAACACTACAAAATCAATTCTGTATAGTTTTTTTTTATTTTGCCTTTATTACAAAAGAGATAACAAATTCTGGTTAAGGAGTTAATGAACCTACCTGAACGAAAAATAAAAACTGCCAGATCTGGGCCAGATAGCTTTACTGTGCAATGTTTATTTTCCATGATAAGATATAATATCGAATACAAAACACAAAAGTAAGGTTTCACAACAAATAATGGTATTATGAGTGGGTAAAAATTAAATGTCACAGAAAGAATGAACGAGGAAAGAGAGGAAGTGAAGGCAGAGGGACGCCTAGAGGGGGTCAATTGGCGAAATTAAGAAAATGGGCCACATTAGGAGTACCCTTAATGTATGCGTAGATATATGGATGTAAAGGAGACGAAAGAGGTACGTCAGCATCGTGCCAAATGGAAGTCCATAGTCTCTGTCTACTACTCTGAGTGACGGGCGTGAGTGTTATGTATATAAAAATTAAATCCCTGCAGTATTGAAATTCGCATATTCGCATTTCATACGTTCGCTTGTCTTTGATACCATTACAATTAGATATGGTATCATAAATAAAAAGAGACGGGCTAATAAAAACTACAAAATCAATAACAAGGGAAACACAATCTTTATCTTAAATTGACACTTGATACTTGATAGTGACGTATAGGACTCACATAAAATAGAAATAGTTAATCCTACTTTAACGTCTGCAAACGCATTTTTTTGAGCGCCCAGAAGTTAGCGTTTTTCTTTTAAAATGCAATAGGAATAATAGCGGCAAACGAGCACACAGTCCTTCTTATGGTAAGTGGATGCTGTGGTCCACAGACATCAAAATTTATCCTGGATAAAGAATCAAAATGAAGATGCGTTGTCACCCCTGATGACTAAGATGGAATACCTCGCTTCCAGTAAAAAAGTTATCCGGTTTTCTGCAGTCATTATACGAAACACAGCAGCATTAAGCTGTTATTTTACGCTGGTATTCTGTGAAAGAGTCGTCCTACCACAGTCGAGCTGACTCATTCGTGCTACAACCATAAAAGCTGCAGCATGGCTCTACCACGTACAATGCGTTTCTATAGTCCAATAAGTCTGTCAGATTTGTGGGATAAATCAAAATAGAAAAATAGAAATCGTCTAAATAGTTTTATTCGTTAGAGAGTTTTTTATTTAAAAATAAGGGTGACAAACGAGCGCACAGTCCACCGGATGGTAAGTGGATGCTGTGGCCCATAGACATCTAAATTTAACCTCGATTAAGAATCAAAACACAGATACCTTGTCATCCCAGAGGACTAAGATGGAATGCCTTGTTTCCAATAAAAGAAGGGTCTCTGGATCTCTACACTTATCATACGATATACATCGGCATTAAGCTGCTATTTGCGGTGGCATTCTGTGAGAGCGTGGTCCTTCCCCGGTCGAACCGCCCCATTCGTGCTGCAACCATAATATAGCTGCAGCGTGACTCTACCAGGTAAAAAGTTTTTCAATAGTCAAATAAAGTTTTTACAAATTTTATCTGAAAAAATCAATATTTTTTCTAATTAATAAATTTGTACTTAAAATAAACGATTTTATGCGGTTTTAATATGTATTTATAGCAGGACTGTTTTTCGTCTTAGCAGATTGTCTGGGTACCTTCTAACTATTTCAGCTGCGATATGTTTTTGTCCAAATAAATGTGAAGTATTCCATCTTCGATCTTAGAGGTGACAAACTACCCGTAGCCTTTTTTGTTTAAAGTTGACTATAGGTACCCATGGACTGCAGCACCCACAGACCACCAGGTAGATTCAGTTTGTTAGTCACTTCAGATTTATAAAAAAAGTACGTAATTATTAAAAAGTAATAATTTTAGGAGACATAACAGCTATATTATTGACTGTGGCTGTAACTTTTTATACTCTTCCAATTAGACACAATTACGAATGTTATTCTATCATTCCTTTCTATTGATTGACGTCAACAAGTCCAAACAAGGCTACTTAAACGTGGTGGAGCCATGCTGCAGCTACATTACTGGTATAGTAGTAGCACAAATGGGTTGGCTCGACCGGGGAAGGACCACGACCTCGCAGAATACCAGCGTAAAGTAGCAGCTTAATGCAGCTATGTTTCGTATGGTGAGTGTAGAGAACGGGAGACCCTTGTTACCGGAAATGAGGCATTCAATATTTGTGCTCACGGGTGACAACTCATCTGCATTTTGATTCGTAATTAAGGATATATTATTTCTCAGGTGGAGCGGTGCTGGATTGTCACCCTTATCCAATAAAAAGGTGCATATTTAGTACGTTTTTTTTGAAACATTATACAGTATATTATAATAGTAACTAGGCGACAGAGTTTTGAAAAAAGTTTTCGTTCGAAAAAATATATTGTCAGAAAATACCATCTAGATAATCTTGGAAAGTAAAACTAAATACAAAATGACATAAAAATTGTTGGTCCTTTTAGAGAAACCAATTAAGTATACATATTATATGTATTACAATAAATGTTCGCTTTTAAAAACAAGATGTACATACCGAAAAATGACACCAAATACTGTTTCCATACTATATTTTTATTAGTATTTCCACTAAACACAATATTATTAATGATATTCACCATTGTGTGAGACTTTCAAAAACTGTCTATTTTCTTAAATACCATTAAGCCACTAATTTACGATGACGTCTTCAATTAATTAATAAACTTTTATCATCCAAATTTAACTCCGAATACCACAAACATTAAACTCTATGTTACACTTTATAAAAAAAGGTCTGTTTTCTTGAACACCACTAAAGCTACTGAATGACGACGACGTCTTTAACTTATAAATACATTTTTAACATTCAGAATTAATGCCGTATACCATAAACATTAAGTTTTTTTTACCTTAAACCAGTCTTGGATACGAAAACAATTATTTGCTTATGGATTCAATGGTTGAATAATATTTTCAAAAGAACATATCTCACTAATCAGAAGCAGATTGTAAAATTAAATTTGTCTGCATTTTGGTATTTGAACAGCATTTACATCATATTAAAGTGACTCGAATGATAATATACCTCTCGTTACAAGAACAAATATTACACGAACAGGATCAGAAGGCGAGATCAGTTAAGTCAACACAGTGTACGTGATACGCGACGCGTTGATAGATCGACTGGAGTTTGTGCTCCATTTAAAACGACAAGTAGCATCTCGTATAACAAGGAAATGAATCGTTGATTAAGATGTACTACCAGGTCTCGTGGGTACGAAATATACAAGTTTTCTTTAAAAATATTTGATTTTTTAAGCAAACGTACTAAAATTTCAAAAGTTATTTTTTTAACATTTATTGATTTGTTATTTATTTTAATCTTTTTGTTGGGAATATTATCTCTATCTTCTGTTTAGCCTTCAAAACTCTATTAAAATATTTTAAACAATTATTAATTATTTAAATAAATAAGTATTTCTTGTATTGTATATTTTGCTTTACAGATGATTGTTTTCTTTTTCACTTTATTATGTATAGACTTGTTACCATGCTTCTTGTGCAGATGATAACATTTACGATCTGCTTCATAATATACATTTGTTGTTCTCAGTGAGACAGTTTGTTGGGAGCAATTGTAATTATCTGTGTTTAATTTACTTTATATGATTTTTTATATCTTTTGTTTATTTTTTGTCTACAATAAATTAATAAATATTAAAATGACCTATAATTTTAAGGTCAGACTTAATGACTATTAAGTCATATGAAACGTCCACTGCTGAGCATTAGGTGTCTCCAATAAATTGTATCTGAGGGGGATATTTGCCATAGCTGCCATGTTTGGCAGGAGGGTTGGCAACCGCAGGTTTTACTTGTTATTATGAAGATGCGGTTGCTCATCTCCAGTTTGGTTTCTCTTTGTCACACCTAGAGGATGATACTGAAGGATATCCTACTCATGTATACATATAACCTCATTACTATAAATGGTTATGCAACGATTTTTGCACTTTGCCACTTTTATCATTTTTTTTTTCATTTAAACAATGCTTCTCAAAACAAATAAACAGGTTGTGACAAATCACAGAATAACATCAACCATTGGTGAACCTAATTTAACTTGCAAATAAACCTGTCTTGATCATATTTTCATTCTTTTGCATCACCGAACACAGTTTTATTTTTAATTTAACAGATTTCATAAGACTCTTACGGCAGAATTCTAAATTCAGTCCACAACCATATGTTTTTATGGTAATATAATGCCACGCTTGTCTAGATTATGGAATTTATACATGGTAGAGCCCCGCTGCAGCCATTATGGTTGTAGCACAATTGGGTCGGCTCGACCGGGGTATGACCACGCTCTCACAGAATATCAGTGTAAAATAGCAGCTTAACACTGCTGTCTTTCGTGTGGTTAGTGTAGAGAACTGAAGACTCCATTTACTGGAAACCAAGCATTCCATATTAGTTCTCAGGGATGATAACTAATTTGTTGTAATTTAAGTAATTTTGTTGGTCGGCAGGTTGTCCCTCCATCTACCGAAAACTCTTCGAGCTATAAGGCTGATTTATTTCCATTTTAGTTAACTTTCTTATTTTCACTTTTATTTATTTTCAACAATTATTATTATTTCTACGATACTAATCATAGAATACTATAATACGTACATAATATAACGGGGACGTGGGCGGAGCCCGCATAGCCACTAAAATGTCAACTAACACGTCAATTCACACGTATAAATGTCAACGCGAGATGTGTTTTGACGTTACAATCGATTCTAAATTTCGCATGCAAATTATTTAAAAAATGCCAAATTGCACCCTATTTAAAAATAAATATTTATTCAAATTTAAACGATTTTTTAATGATGATCTTGAACATTAATCAAAAGTCTAAAATATGTAAATTCTAAAACTAAAACATATTTAATCTGTCAACACAGCGAATCGGGTTTGGCGACGCCAAACCTCATACAAGTTGACAGCTATTCTATTGTGTATTTGTATCCCATGGTACTAATCAAGAAATATGCCAGTAGTTTCTGTATAAAGCTGTAAGTAAAGTCATGTGTATTCAGTAAAACAATTTAATATTTCGATTGCACTCAATTTAATTAAAACCACTTTTATTTATTTTGTATTTAATGCAGTTGTTATAAATAGAGCATAAAATTATTCGAATACTACATCCAGTTATACTCAAGGCAATCGGCTCTAATTTATTGATAATTCGTTTTGGTTTATGTTGTATTCTTGCAGCCAATTATTGTGAGCAGCCTTACTCACGGTTTTTTAATTTTTAATTTTCGTCAGATGCACTTGTGTTTCAAATTATAGTCAAGGGTATGTCATACAACTTGATAAAAAAGGTGTATATAAATGTATATCACCTTACAAAGTCAGGCCAAGTTAGCTAGTATAAAAGAATAACTGCCTCGTTGGTCTAGTAGATGTAGTTCCGACCCCTGATCATTAGGTTTGTGGTTCAAATTTGGTCTAGCGTCGTGCAAAAATCAGTAATAATAATAATGTTCTCCAGTCATTCTCCTTCGGTCACGGCGGACAGCCCCAACGGAGACTAGCCGTGGCGCAGGACAGGATTATAGTGCCCAAGTGTATGCGCAAGCACAGGTGCACTCTCTATTCCCTCTCTCTCATAATCTGATGGGACGGTAAACTGAGACGACCAGAGAGAGATCAGGCGCAGGACCAACGGCTTTACGTGCTTTCCGAAGCACGGGTTGAGACACCGCCAACTTCCTGACTCCGGGCAGCTACTGAGAATTTCTTGACGGAAAAACTCAATAATTAAGTTTTTGGCCCAACCCGGGATTCGAACCCGCGACCTCATGATCAGCATTCGCACTACTACAACCACTAGATCAACAAGGCAGTCAAAAACATCGGTAATTGATTTAGTAATCAGTTAAAAGTTAAAGTTAAAGTTACAGCCTACATACGTCCCACAGCTGGGCACAGGCCTCCCCTCATTTCTGAGAGGGTTTTTGAGGGCAAATAAATTTCGCCGCGCTGCTCCAATGCGTGTTAGCGTACTTCAATTGTCTCCGAAATTTATTTTTCTCTTATTTCTCAGACACGCAGGTTTCCTCACGATGTTTTCCTTCACCGCCGAGCACGTGGTAAATAAGCAATTAAAATTGCAATTAACAATGACATCGCTGCCGACGGGGATCGAACCCGGGTTGTTCGCGTACTGTGAAACTTACAGCGAGCGCTAAGCCCAAGTTTTGGTGTTTGCTTTTATTTTAGTTTATTTGTTTCATTTTAGTTTATTTAGAAGTAGATGGCGCTATTATCAGATGAAATAATGAAAGCTAAATCTATACTATCTATTAATATCAGCGATAGAAGCAAAGATTCATTATACAAATAAGGCATAAAGTGCTGTAATTGCTGTTAAAAGTTCTGTTTCTGTTAAAAAATACGCTATTACCGCCGCTGGCGGTGAAAAACAATTAGAAGATATAATCATAACTATTATACGTATCATGAAATAGCTATGTTGTGTTTAGTTATTAATATCGTCAGACGATCTCTATTCATTGATTTGGTCAAGTAACATTATGACATGGTCAACAAACAGTGTTAATTGCGTAGGTCACTCAATAAGTTTTGAGATGCTCGAAATTTAAAAATGGAACGCATCCGTGTTGTATGTTTATGTTTCTAAAAGGCAAATTTATTTAAAAATAGAACTCCATAAGCCAATTGCTCAATATTTAAAAAAAAACTATAAATTAATTTTCCTGCAACGCTTCCCGCGCTTTTCATTTAAATCGATGGATCTTAACCGTGAACATTTGCGCGCTAAGATCTATTATGATTTTAAATTTGGTTTAACCGAAAAATTAAGTTTACAACAGTTAATTAAAAGATCAAATATCATCAAATAAGTTTAAAACAACTTTTAGGTGGTTTGCTGAATTCAAAAAGGGGAAAATTAAAGATGACCAAAGAACCGGGGCCCCGCAAACAGCAGTAACGGCAGAAAATGTTTGGACTACTGAAATGTTGGTGCGAGATGACCCACGAATCACATATACGGTCATCGAAAAGATTGTAGGCATTAATTCGGGGAGCATTCATACCATCCTACATCAACATCTTGGATTGAGGAAGCTTTGTTTTCGATGGATCCCTCGTTTGCTCTCTGAAAGCGAAAAACAGACTTGTGTGGATTGGTGCCACGAAATGCGTCTACGTTTTGAAAAAGGGGCATCTAGGCGCTGGTGACGAGACATGGATCTATCAATATGATCCGGAAAATAAAAGGCAATTATTGGTTTGGTTCTATTTAGAAGGGCAGTTACCGACAAAACTGCAAAGACCTCGAAACGTGGGAAAAAAGTGGTGGCTAGTTTTTTTTCGCGGAGCGGACATTTGTCGACGTCAATGCTGGAAAATTGTAGGTCAGTCAACTCTGAATGGTATACTACAGTTGTATTACCCAAAGCTTTACAAGCTGTGCGAGAGAGAAGACCAAAGACCGGGCTTCGGGGAATCATGCTGCAACACGATAACGCCTCTTCACATACCTCCTTTAGAACAAAAGCATTTATTGAGGAATCTGACGTTGAAACTCTAAGTCACCAACCCTAAAACCCTCATTTAGCTCCTTGTGATTCCTTTTTGTTCCCAAGAGCCAAAGAAAAAATAAAAGGCAAGTTTTTTTTAAGCGGCGAAGAAGCCGTGGCTGTCTACGAAGAAGCGAGTTCCGACCTGTCAGATCAAGACTGGCAAAAGGGTTTTCAGAGTTGGTTTAGGCGAATGGAACTTTGTATAAAGCATGATGGAGAATAATTTGAAAAGATGTAAAATAAATATTAATAGTATCTAGAATATTTTTTCCATATCTTAAAACTTATTGAGTGTTCTACGTATCGCACATTGATAAGAAGACCGTCACTATACGAAAAATGATGTTTTTCTGTTAGGAGTGCCATCTGTTAGCGCGCAAAGATACTATTTTTTTGCAAAAACACCTGTCGTTGTAACTATAATATTCATCGGCAGGTGGCGTTAGTTTCGAACTGCTTTATCGACAATGTTGAGACGATCTGTTATGACAGACCGCCATTTTTTCATTCGTGACTGTGAAGTTAACAAAAACGGTTTCATCTAGTGTATTCCATGGTGACATTTTCTGGTTAAAAGCGATTTGGATTGATCATATTTCGTAAGTACGAATTAACTTTAATACGAATACCGTCACATTTTGATAAGTGTCGTGTATTATGCTATATTATTTTGTAAAAATTGCTATGTTGGGACGACATACTGTCATTTTTATTTTAGTGTCGATGTTCGTGTTACGGAATTTTAACTATTTGTGTCGATTATTAATTCAGGATGTCATTATTCATTTTGTGTCATTCTTCCTTTCAGCCAAACAGAGAGTTTGTATTTAATTGGAACTACCTACTGCCATTTTTTATTTAGTGTCGCTCTTCGTGTTACGGAATTTAAAGTATTTGAGTCAATTATTGATTCAGGATGTCATTATTCGTTTAGTGTCATTCTTCCCTTAAGCCAAACAGAGGGTTTGTATTCAATTGGAACAACATACTGACGTTTTTTCTATTTAGTGTCACTCTTCGCGTTACAGAATTTGAAACATTTGAGTTGATGATTAATTCAGGATGTGATGGATGATTTTTTGTGTCATTCTTCCTTTTAAGCCAAATAGCAAGCACGGAAAATAACACTGAAATCAACAAATAATTTTGTTTAGAGTCATTATTAATTGGGATATTTTAATATTGGTTTTGGTTATTCATATAATTTAATGCTTCTAAAGTCAATTAATTAAATGATCTTCCTTTTAGTAATTTTGACCATAATTTGCTTGTTTTCAGACTTAAAATGCCTTTACAAAATGCGAGAATAAACAAACTCAAGAATATTTCTAGAAGACTGCTTGAGGACACACAAGATGATAAAGAAGAATTCAAAAAAAGAACGTGTCATGGTATCCAGAATGAACCTGTTCATTTAGAAAGCGCAAATACACCAACGACACACCAGACCTCCAAAAATCATTGTGAATCAACTCGCAATGAAGAAGAAATTAACCAAAATGCAAATGAAGATATTTCTACCACAATCTTGGATTTAATATTGTGCCTTCCCAAGAAATCACACCTAAAGATCACCAGAAAGCTGAACAGGTTTCTTATTACCTTACCTAAAACAGTAGGATATTCTTACCTTATAATATCAAACTAAGAATACTATTCAGAATACACTACTTACCTTACCACCATTTGAAACTTATTGTTTCAAATGGCGGTTAACTTAAAATAACTAAAAAAGCTTATTGTCTTTTCCTTGTTCTTCTCCTAGTCACCCAGCTAAGAATATCACTGCATGAGTTATGAGATGCATTTCTTTTACTTATTGTGTTATTTAAAATAATTACTTATTTTAGGAGGAACCCTTTCATGTGGATGAAAACTTGCCTCCAAATGAACAACTTCATGCAGAAAGAAGAAATTCCAGGTCATCTACCTCCAGTCGTGCATCTCCACGTGATTTTTCACCTGCTTCAGACGATGACCCAAGTTACTTACCATTAAAACCATCCACTGCAAACCGTCGACGATCAGACTCTTCTTCTTCTTCGGATTCATCATCGAGCAATTCTTCGTCTAGTTCCGCTTCCTCGTCAAGTTCTTCGTCTTCGTCAAGTTCTTCTTCTGAATGTTTTTCGATGAGAAATCACCAGTGTCCATCGTTGGCGTCATTGGCTTCTGCCGCTGTAGACATAATCTCTACAATCCAACCTACTACTATCAGAAATGTTGTAGAAGAAGGCAATGGGAATAGTCGAAAAAAATCAGACGAATTAATAAAAAAAAGACAGCTCAGACTCGAAGAAATCGAGGACAATCATACGTATCTACATCATCAAAAATTGTTGCAGAAAGGGTGATGAGAGGACCCTGTAATGAAAAGTGTCGGCTTAAATGTCGTGATATTATTGCTGAAGATGACCGCAAAAAATTATTTGACTCGTTTTGGAATCTGGGCTCACTAACACGTCAAAGAGATTATATAGCTAATAATTTTGTTAACGTGTTTCCTAAGTATCAGTACAAAAGACTTAATAGCAGCAGAAAACCAAAGAATGCATTCCATTTCGAGATAAATGGTAAAAAAAACAGAGTGTGTAAAATATTTTTTAAAAATACTCTTGGAATTGGTGATCGACCTATTAGAACAGTGATAGACAAGAAGAACGAGCAAGGTATAGTGGACCCTGAACAAAGGGGCAAACACAGTAATAAAAAAACCATTCCTGAAGGTAATTTAATTGAAGTGCGACGTCACATCAATAGTATACCTCGTATAGAGAGTCACTATCTACGAAAACAAACTTCTAGAAAATTTATCGACGGAGGAAAGACGCTTGCTGATTTATACAAAGATTACAAAGCCGATTGCATTGAAAAAAATATCGAATTTGTAAAAATACATATTTATAGAAAAGTTTTTAATACTGAGTTTAACATCAGTTTTTTTTATACCCAAAAAAAGATCAGTGTGATCTTTGCACAGCTTACAGGATTGCCGATGTAAAAGAAAATTTGGAAGATAAATATCAAAATCATTTAAAAGACAAGGATGAAAGTAGAATAGAGAAGGAAAATGATAAGAAAATGAGTAATTGCATTGTGTTTTGTTATGACTTGCAGGCAGTTATGACTTTGCCTAAAGGAGAAATATCAATCTTTTACTATAAAAGTAAATTAAATTGTTTAAATTTCACTATTTCTGAACTGGGAAAAGATCACACTGAATGTTTTTTTTTGGACAGAAGTAGAAGGTCAAAGAGGTGTTAATGAAATTGGGACGTGTGTGTTTAAATATTTAGAAAAAATGTCCTTATTACATCCAGATTTCGACTTTATTTTCTATTCTGATAATTGTTGCAGGCAACAAAAAAACCAATTCATGTTATCTCTTTATTTGTATGCAGTAAAAACTTTGCCAATAAAATCTATAACCCACAAATTCTTAATCAAAGGTCACACACAAAATGAGGGTGATGTGCTTCACAATTGAGAGAGAAGTAAAAAAAAATTTTAAGATCTGGCCCTATTTATGTTCCTGACCAGTACATTGCAGCAATAAAGAACGCACGAAAAAAAGGAAATGCATACAATGTTAATCTGATGAGCCATAGTGATTTTTACAATATTAAATGTTTATGTGAGAATATTTTTTCCGAGAATACGGGAGGAGAAAAAGTTAGGATAGGTGATATTAAAATCATTAAAATGATGAAAGATTTAAATGAGTCTGCTACAGTCAAAATATTTTATAAGAAATCTTACTTAGAACAGAACTTTAAAGTGATTAGACTAGAAGCTAATAGGGTAGCTACTCGTAGGCAACATGCAGGGAGTAGGTACGAAGTTCCTAATGCCAACAATCTATTGAAACCTCTTTATGCAGCTAAGCTTCCTTTGGCTGAAAGAAAGAAAAACGACATCAAATCGTTGATTGATCAAAATCTCATTCCTAGTTATTACGTTTCTTCTTATTTTGATAGAATCCTTTAAGAATAAGTTAGTAAATCTGATACGGTAATTTTCTTGATCTCAATTATTATTAAGTGCAATTTATAATAAGTAATTAAACATGATTGTGATATTACGTTATTTAAGAGCTATTTGATTTAAAAAAAGCCTTAATAAACAAAACAAGAGCCTTACTTTGAGTTTTTATCTTTAGGATGTCTAATATTTTGGATATACAATATAATTATTATCGTTTTTAGCACCTAAATGTATTGAGTCTGAAAATATCAATAAAAATGTGATTTATTTAGCTGTTGTCATCGCAAACAACTTAATGTTTGAGTAGTTTGTATTAAACTATATTTTCTAAATAAAAACTGTTTTTTCTTTGCGTAATGTATTTTTTTCTATTGTTATTATGTCGGTAAGTTGTCACGTAGTAGGAAATACTGAACGTTTTGATTAATATTATAACGTCACTAAAAAGTTTTTTGGGAAAATCTTATTTCAAAATACTTTTTCATAAAAATAAACTATACATTCCAGTAGTATTTAATGCTCTCTAAAATAAAAACCATAACATGATATAATATTTTTTTTCTTTATGGTGCAAAACTAGTCATTACGGTTTGGTAAAACTTAAAACGCTTCTACCGAAAAAACAGTTTTTTTGGTTAATGTCACTCTTCTTATCAATGTGCGTGTACTACTTTACGATAAATGTTCAATTCTACGATCTGGCCGCGACAAATATAAAAATCTTTTTAATAAAACTATAAGGATAATTAAAATTTTGCAATAATTGCAAGCAGACTAGTTTTAATTACTTTAAACCGTATCAATTTTCATATTTTTCAATTATTTATTAAAAAAATTAGACTTTTAAAATGAAATAACGAAAAATCTTACTAAATTTTATTAATCAAATTATTTAAATATATTTCAAATATAAGTTCCATATATTTTTTTATTACTTAGTTTATTAGTAAATTGTAAGCAAAATATACTACTTTTTCCATTTGATGATAGATGGCACTGTTTTGATAACTAAAACGATAGTCGGCGTATTTTATCAAGGTGATAACTATATTTTTAACTTTATTTATAAACGTGGTATTTATTTGAAGAAAAAAGCCCTCATCCCGCCCATAACTAACATAACTATCTATAATAGAAAATTGACATTTAAGTGGATCGATCACTAATTATTAGTGATCGATGTTTAAGGGAAGGAAAATACTTAACCTTCTTTTTTTGAAGTTCCATAATCGAAAACAAGTTAGCTTATAAGTTTCTCTAGGTCACTAACTACCTCCATACAAAAATTTCATGTAAATCTTTATAGTAGTTTTTGCGTGAATCTTAAATACGCAGACAGACAGAAAATTTTTCTAAAAACCGTTAATTTGACTTACAATTTATTTAGACCCCTTGACTTGTTTTTAGATTTAATATATTATATATATATATATATATATATATATATATATATATATATATATATATATATATAATAGTCAGGGGGGTTTTCATGCTGGTCTACCTTTCCGGTGATCCTGTTATGGAATACGGGTACGCGACCCCGGCTCCCCGAGCTACTGTTATTCTCATACCTTTCCTGCCGAGATAACAGTATCCTTGCACCTGCGCTCCTACCCCCAACCTTCTTTTTCCTTTTCCCAAAATGGTAGCTTCCTCTACCAACAATAGCATACCCAAAGAGGGTTGGTGTCAGGCAGGCGGCCGACTGTAAAACTTTTGCCAAATCCCATGCAGTAAACCTATGAATATTACGAGTTGTGGGATATATGACAGGGCTAGGGCGTACCCCGCAGGCGACGCGCAGGGGCAGCACCCGGCTCCTGTGGGAAGTGGGCAAGGGTTGTCGCACCTTACGGAGCGGGTGCGACGTAAGAGGCGAGCCCGGAGAGAGAAGAATGTCAGAGTGAGGTTTGCAAGCTGGAATGTAGGTACGATGACTGGAAGAGGAAGAGAGTTAGCAGATGTTTTGAAACGACGAAGAGTGAATGTTGCCTGTTTGCAGGAAACAAAATGGAAGGGCAATAAAGCAAGAGAGATTGGGGAAGGATACAAGTTTTATTATTGTGGAAGTGATGGGAAGCGAAATGGAGTAGGAGTTGTGTTAGATAGTGGAATGAAAGAACGAGTGACAGATGTGAAAAGAGTAAATGACAGAATGATAGTTATTAAATTAATGATTGAAAACAAAGTAGTGAATGTTGTAAGTGTGTATGCTCCGCAAACAGGCTGTGAAGAGAGTGTGAAAGAGAAGTTTTGGGAGGAATTTGATTGTATGATGATGGGAATACCTGAGAGTGAGGATGTTTATATGGGAGGAGATTTTAATGGACATGTAGGGAGAGTGAATGACGGGTATGAAAGAGTACACGGTGGATGGGGGTACGGAGTGCGGAACCGTGAGGGGGAAGTTCTTCTGCAAGCAGCATGTGCTTTCGACCTGGCTGTAGTAAACACGTGGTTCCAAAAACGAGATCAGCATCTTGTTACTTATAAAAGTGGCCACCACGCGACACAGATCGACTATCTTCTGATAAGACGGAACCAAATCAAGAGTGTAAAAAACTGCAAAGTGCTTCCAGGTGAAGACTTAGTATCCCAGCACCGAATTCTGCTGGCTGACATCTGCTTAACTGTTCGCCTCGACAAACATAAGGATCGTCC